GGACCACTAGCTGTCTCGCATGGACGCTCACTTCGCTTTCTTCGTCTGTTTACTCTTGATACTATGGTCGCTGCTGAGCTACAACATCAAAATCACCCTCCTCTCACTCGGCCGAGCTGAGGCGCGACTCTATCACTCGGGGAAAGACCCGAAGGGTTGGCGTGAGGAGAAAGCACAGACTGCGTGTTGGGAGAGGAAGTAAAGTACGAGGCTGTACTGCAGCCATACTCGCAGTGCTACTTTGTACCAGCCCGGCACAGCCGGTGAGCAAAGACGGGGACGGCGATCGTGAGCATCGAGTTTTCTCACGCTGCTCAACTCACTCACGCTCATCTCACGCACAGCAAACCAATGGCAATGTCTAGATGTAAGAGCGTCTTAACAGCCACTGAGTTTATAATCAGTGCTATTGGTTGGTCGTCTGGTGTCATGTCTCACATGGCGTGTACGCGTTTTGGCTACTAGGACAATTGTTGTGGACATTTCAAAAATCACATTATAGGATTAGGGAACAGACAAAATATCTCCATACAAATTATTGGGCCATTTTATTTTTAATAAACAAAAAGATAAATGTATAGTTTGACATTTTCTCATACCGTTCAGACTCATAAAGATAGTTCAATTGAAACTCTACTGATCGCTCTCACCATTATAGTATATTATTATGACTGATATCATGAGATGTATTATCAGTTGATTGAAAGACATTATCAGGGTATATCTCAGCGCGCACTCATCTCGAATTGTGCTGCAAGCACGCACGCTCGACTCTGTTCGAGGATGGTAGCACACAGGAGCTAACTGAGATGAAGAAGTCGTCAGGTACAGGGCTTGCACTGAAGATGTTGGATTGAGGCAGGACACGTGAGTCGAAGACTGCTGGCACCACCCAACACCATCTACTAGCACCTTTTAGGTGAGGAAATTATTAGATATATATCATCTTCTATGTCATATATTTAATGTGTACTAGGTCTTTTGCAGAGCAGAGTATGTTCTGTCTTCCCCATAGAATACGATAGATATGCGTTACAGTTGTCTATGCATTAATTCTTGGGTCTTGATGCTGAACGTACTGCCTGCGGCAAGAAGGCGAACTGATCCACTCACACATGACAGTATTAGCACGAGGTGCACAACACCGATGGGAACGGACGAAGACAATCGGTATTTGGTAACATCGCTTTCATCGAATTACGAAAAGTGGAACAACTACTAGACTATCAACACTCGTGCGCACTCAGCTAGCTCTCTCTCACTAAGTGCCATTCTATTGAAAATTTCATATATTAAGAACAGCGAGCATCAGCTCGCATTATGGAACCAGCTGGCTCATCTTCTCTTCGCTCGCCACTCGTCACTCACTATGTTTTAAAACCACATCTCACTTATCTTTAATGAAAGGCTCAGACTTCTGTGCGTTTTTTTTTGTAATTGACTTCATAATAAGGAAAAAAAATGACGAGAGTTTTCAAAGAGTTGAAAAGTATCTTGTGTTTAGTTCATATGTGGTACAATTATCACTTCATGCTTCTACTGAACTAAGAGATTATGAGTAATCTTAATGATTGAATAGTACTCACCGTCATACTCGCACTCACTCTGTTAACTCTATAGCGAGATTATTACAACACTTAAAGTATAATACGTTCTAATATCTTCATTGGCTTATAGTAAGCAAAAAATACAATTCTCATCTTAAGTAGTGTGGAGTATATGTTCACACAAAAATTGATAAGCTTCCTCATCTCGCAATGTAACCTCCTGGTGTAAGCTTTTGGGAGAAAGGATGTAAGTGATCATATCATGCATCAATAAAACGCAGACTAAGAGGTAAGAAAGAAGTAATAAGAAACTAGATGAGGGTAAGTTCTTAAATTACGTGGGAGAATTGAAATTTGTAATGTTGAATAATATTGGAGTCGGTGTCCTGTTCTCTCACTAAAGATTCTTAAAGTTAGAGATCTATATGGTAGATGAGGTTGCATATATCTACTATCGTGGGTGAGTTTGACTTATCAAATCTACTACTACTACTTTGACTCCACTGGTCAGGCCAGGTGACGACTATACTACTAGACCTACTGCAGCAAAGTGGAATCGAGTGTGGAATTGTAAATATATGACGAGTGAGGTGGGAAGTGATGGGTTGATTGTGTGTTAAAGTATTGCGTTATTTGGTAAGATGTAGAGTGGTAGTTAGATAGGATAGATAGGTGGAGGAGTAATTTGGAGCATGGTTGGAATAATGAGAAATGTCGGGCGAGGCGTGTAATAGAGTGGTGTATTAATAAGCTAGTAATAAGTTGAGGAAGGTGAGGTGAGTGTAATAGTGAGGTATATTGCGAGTAGGTGAGATGAATAGTGGACTGGTGTATAATAATGAAATATTATTGTTGTAATTATTGTAATTAATAGTAGAGATAATAATAGGTATTATGGATGTAATAATAATTAATAATAATAAAAATAGTAATAGTGATGAAAGGTAGTGGAAATAATAGTAGGAATAATAGTGATAATAATAACAGTAATAATAATTAATAAAAAGAAATGCCTTTAGGGTTATGTTTTTTGAGATTGTGACATATGGTGAAAGATGATGAGGGGAACTGATGATGGTGAAAATAAATATTAGTTTGAGTATAGGGACTAATACATTTTAAAAATAAAAAAAAAAAAAAAAAAAAAAAAAAAAAAGGGAAGGAGAGAGACAAAAGGAACTTCAATTATAAATGGCCGCAGTGTATCAATGTGTTCGGGAGCCTAGCGGTGTATTTATGTTGCACTATCACATTTATATTGTTTTGACTTTGTGTTGGTGTGGGTGGTTGGGGGGAAATGGGGGGGGGGGGCTTTTTTGTATTTGTTGTGGTGTTGTGGTTATTGCTTTATGTTTTTGTTTTATGTTGAATATTGCAATTGTTAAACGTTGATGTTTGTTTTGTTTTTTTTGAATGTTATGTTCTGCTGTCTTTAAAAAAAATTAAAAAAAAAGAAAAAAAAAAAAAGAAAAAAAAAAAAAGAATTCATAAAACATATGGTGGGGGGTTAGCTGATAATGTCCCCACCAAAGCTAAGACCACCAAACCTACACCCTTGCTTTCCTCAAAATAGCGTAATGTGGGCCCTTTAAAGTCACAATTCTCACAGTTCTCGACAAATGTTTTCTAGTGAGCTACATGTGAATATTCTGTACCAAACTAAACGAATCAACTTACACGCAGAGATTTGGAGATAACATGAAAACAAGCCAAACATTTTCAATGTCATGTTTCATCCCTCGGTCTATTTCACCAATTATGCAAAAATGTGTATCCGAGAACTACAGTAATTACTCCATGTTTGGACCGGGCGCCTCCCCGTCTCCGCTGCTGTCCCGGTTTCACGATGGCGAGCACCCAAAGCGGCGATCTGGGAGGCGCTACGTGAAATTACCATGACGATACAAGGACTGCGATGGACGAATATTAATTAGGACACGCGTAATGAGTAATTGATTGCTTTTTTATGCTTGTCAAATACGGAAAACATCAACAGCTCGAGTGCAAATGCGTTTAGGAGGTAATTGGAAAGTATGTGCGATGTGTAGGGGCCACATGATGGATGGGAAATGTACAGTGTAGAGATATGAGCCATTACATTACGACGAGTGACAGGTGAGGAGATTAACATGGATCTAACATGGCACCTGTTAGCGGGTGGGATATAATGGAGCGTAAAGGTGCACTGTGTAACTTTTATAATGGGGGTCTGTCACTTGCTTCTCTCCAATTACAATTATTTATTAGTAAAAATACCTTAAAAACACGCTTTGCTTTCTGAATGTCAGAGAGATTGGCATTACATAAATCTGACCTATAACTAGACTTGGTATTTCCATGTACCTTATTTTTCAGACTATAAGGCGCACTTAAATCCTTAAATTTCCTCAAAAATTGACAGTGTGCCTTATAATCTGGTACGCCTTATGTATTAATTCTGGTTATGCTTACTGACCTTAAACCAATTTTATGTGGTATACGACGCTCAAAAATCTGTCAAAGTGTTTTAGTACGACTTTGGTAGCGAATACGAATATGATATGAAGCCGCACAGATTGATGGATTGTCAGAACATTACTGCTATCGTAGTCAGGAGCCTCGCGGAATCCGACAGAAGCTGACCACATCAGTTCACAAAGAGTGAGCTGATTTTTTCAGCGCTTATAGTTTATGCAAATCAGCCATGTGGTTTTAAGTTTTGTTTCTGTAAAACGTAAACAAATGTGCATAAAGCTGAATTAAACACATTATTACTCAATGTATATTTGAGTCGTCCTGTAGGAAATTTAAAAATTGACTTAAATGATCCACACACGTTCACATTCCTAATACACGTTCACCAAGATAGGGAGGCAACGCCGAGCGATTTACGCCACGATCTGCCAATGGATCATGGATACCTGGGCTAAGGATCAGTCTCAAGTGTTGTCCAGTTGTTTCGCTTAATGCACCTTATAATCCGGTGCACCTTATGTATGAAAATAGATGAGATAATTAACATTAGTGATATTGCGCCTCATAATTCAGTGCGCCTTATAGTCCGAAAAATACGGTAACTTATTCCTGTAATGGGGGCTTGTGATGTGATGATTTTTATAACATTATTTTAGTATTATTTTCATTGCTGTGTATGAAACAGGAACAGGATGGAAAAGTAAAAGTATTTTTATTTTAGTTTGAGCCCTGCTGAAAAGGTTGAGAGGGGTATTTTTTTTTAGCACATTTATAGTTTGAGCAAACAAATCAAAATCACTACATTTGAGGCTTTAGTAGATCTCAAAATATGCACAGAATACTAATACTAATACTACTACTTAAACAGGAGCATTAATACTTTTACTTAGGTAGATTTTTTTCATGTGATATTTATATTTTTACTTGTCTGCTCTGGTATCTGTACTTTTATTTAAGTAACAAAAGTGAGTACTTCTTCCACCACTGAGTATGAGTTACCTTCGACCTCCAGCTCCGCCTTAGACTCCCCTCCGTTGGTTAAGGCGTGGTACGTGCCGATGTCTTCCTTCGTGGCTTCATTGATGATAAGGATGTGTCTCTTTCCGTCTTTCTTAAACCTGTACTTTGACCCAGCCGTTTCCTTGCTCAGCTCCACTCCGTCTTTCATCCTGAAGACGAAATGTGGTCAAACTTTAAAGGTCCTCTGTCACGCAAAATGGACTCTTGTGAGCTTTAAGTCATGTTTTAATGTTGTTACCTCCACAAAAACAGACCTGGAGCTGTGTTTTGTTTCATTCACACATTCACTAGAATAATTTGGATGATTTCAGCAGTGGAAATGTTACTCAGGGTGACTATGTGAACAAAACACAACACAACTCCAGGTATGTTTTTGGTGTAATCACATTTGAACATGGCTTAAAGCTCTCGAGTCAATTTTACTTAAACTGAAATCTTATGTTGACTGAACAGATGGTTGTGCATTTGTTTCCTCACCACTTGACGTTAGCTCCCTCCTCAGACACCTCCACCTCAAACTCCACCTTCTCTCCGACCACAGTGTGAACATCGTCCAGCAGCTTCGTGATGGTCACCGGGGGCTCTGGGGACAGGAAATCAAGGTGAAAAATACAGATCAAATAATAGTGATCATGTCTTTTTCGTGCATTTTGCCAGTTCAAATTGCATATGACAGCTTAGACTCATTACACATAGTTAAATTATTTTAATGAACTGACTAAAAACATTGTCTAGTTTTTCAAGTTTTTAACTTTGGTGAAGTCTATAATGTTACTTCCTGGTTGGACATGGGCAGCAGATGTGACATATGCAGGTCATACAACTGTTACTTTGGAAGTAGAATGTGCATCTCACAGGTTTTTATGGGTTTTTCTTAGTGCTGTCATGCGATTAAAAAAATTGAGAGATTAATTAATTATGATCTGTAATTAATTAATCTAATTAATCTCATTTTAATCTCACCTAAAAATTGCTGAGAAAAGCCTTCAATTAGAGGTATTTTCATTTAAATTCATTATTACATTATTGTGGCAGATCAAAAGACTGATATAGATTTAAAAAAGTGACTTTATAAAGTCATTTATTGTTTAACAAATCTCTCCAAATTGGCTGTTGAGCCCAAGTCTCCATGAATAAGAAACTGTGTTTGCTGTAAAGTTAGCAAAGACGAGGAAATCTGAACATAATAACTTTTGTTTACTTAAAGACAATAAAAAGTCCAGTCTTTCCTTAACCATATTAAAAATATTATTGATAGAGAAATGCTTTATATATGAGATCACTGGTTTTAGTCCTGGTTTAGTCCTGGTTTAGACCTGGTTTTAGTTCTGGTTTTAGTCCTGGTTTAGTCCTGGTTTTAGTCCTGGTTTAGTCCTGGTTTAGACCTGGTTTAGACCTGGTTTAGACCTGGTTTTAGTTCTGGTTTAGTCCTGGTTTAGACCTGGTTTAGACCTGGTTTTAGTTCTGGTTTAGACCTGGTTTAGACCTGGTTTTAGGTCTGGTTTTGTCCTGGTTTAGTCCTGGTTTAGTCCTGGTTTAGACCTGGTTTAGACCTGGTTTTAGTTCTGGTTTAGTCCTGGTTTAGTCCTGGTTTAGTCCTGGTTTAGACCTGGTTTAGACCTGGTTTTAGTTCTGGTTTTAGTTCTGGTTTAGTCCTGGTTTAGACCTGGTTTAGACCTGGTTTAGACCTGGTTTAGTTCTGGTTTTAGTTCTGGTTTAGTTCTGGTTTAGTCCTGGTTTAGACCTGGTTTAGTCCTGGTTTAGTCCTGGTTTAGTCCTGGTTTAGACCTGGTTTAGACCTGGTTTTAGTTCTGGTTTAGTCCTGGTTTAGTCCTGGTTTAGACCTGGTTTAGTCCTGGTTTTAGTCTTGGTGTTAGTTCTGGTTTAGAGGCTCACAGGAGGAAGTGCGGTTTACGCCGCGTACGTGAGAAAACACGATCCACACGCGGCTCACGGGAGCACGTCGGTGTCCACGCAGTAACTACGGAAGGAAACGTGGTCCGCGCGTTCTCAGGTTAATGACGATGATGAAGGTGTGTGTTTGTTTGTGTGTTTGTGTGTGTTTGTGTTTGTGTGTGTTTGTGTTTGTGTGTGTTTGTGTTGTTTGTGTGCGTGTCCCCTCATGTGGCAGGTCACTATAGGACAGTAGTGCAGACATCATGAGTCTATGCAGGTTGTTTTCAGGCGATATTATATTTGTTATTTTCTTTTATATTTCACGTCGGGAGAATAATTTTCAAGACATGAATGTGTTTTACCTGTGCACTGCTGCCTCTGTTCTACAGGCTCTTGACCTCGTCCATTGTGCGACTGACGCCGCCAACGTTAACATGACGTTTACATCGCTCTTACTGCGCGTGTTTTGTGTGGGTTTCCGGCAATGAGTGGAATTACCGAAATAAAAAAATGTATAAATGTGTTTTGTGTGTGTGTGTTGTTGTCCCAACAACACATAAAAACAGGTTTTATAATAAAGCAACTCACATACAGAAACACTAAAGTTAGAGATTAAAAATGAGATTAACGCGATTAAAAAACATAACGCGCTAAATATGACTGTAATTAATTAATCGCAATTAACGCGATAATTTGACACCCCTAGTTTTTCTAATTACCTCCGCCAAGGACGTTATGTTTTTGCCGGCGTTTGTTTGTTTGTTTGTTTGTTTGTTTGTTTGTCTGTTAGCAACATAACTCAAAAAGTTATGGACCGATTTGATGAAATTTTCAGGATTTGTTGGAAATGTGAAAAGGAAGAACTGATTTCATTTTGGGGTGATCCGGAAGAAATCCTGGATTCTGGATCACTTTGAAATTTTAGTTAACATTGTGGTAAATGGGCCAAAAATTTTGTTTCTCAATATCTGGGTTAATTATTGACCAAACCCCATGAAATTTGACTCAGGGATGGACAAGGATCCTCTTTCATATTCAAAGGCTGATCCGGATCTGATCCAGAAGACTGATTTTATCGCAATTTATATAAAAAATGGGGGTAGTCCTTGGCGGAGGTCTGCGCTCTCTGAGTGCTTTTCTAGTTATGACTTGGTTAGGCTGAATAGTACCCCTGATAAATATTTATCATAGTTAAGTGGCAGTTTGTGGAAAAAAGTACAGGAAAATACAGAAAGTATCTATTTGCATTAGTCTTGTGTAATTGATGTAAATTTGAAGCTGCACCCTCCTCAGAGGTTTGGAGTTGTATCCTCCTGAGGCAGAGGAGTTGTACCCTCCTCCTCAGAAGGTGGAGCTGTGTCCCTGTCCCCTGTAGGGGGAGCTGTACCTTTGACGAAGAGCTCAGTGAAGCACTTCTCGTCGTCCACCACACACTCGTACGCTGCGTCGTCCGACAGGTTACACTTGTTTATGGTCAGACTACGAACGTTTCCCACACTCTCCATGACGTACCTGCAAAAAACACAGTATTAGTCCTGCTCTAGTCCTGGGCGAGTATTAACATGTTTAAAAAGTTTCACTTCGATATTTGACGCTCTGCTTCTCCCCTCCCTTTGCTCTCCACACTAAGTCACTCCCCCTTCAGAGTGCTTCAAAACACAATCAAACTACTGCACATCGCATCATGTACTGTACATTTGTCAAGCTGCCATGTACAGTTTTGTATTATGTTTATGTTTAAATAAGGCCTGAGAGAGATCACTAAATGATACAAACATGCAAGGATGACATTTAAAACCTCTTCAGGCATGTTTTTTGATGAAGGAACAACATTATAAAAATAAATAAATAAAAAATACACATGACATTTTGCATAGTACCCCCTCTTTAAGTATTTAGACATGAGGAAGTGAATAAGTACATTATATATTATTAGTATTACTCTGGTTTACCTGCTTTAATCCTGAGGCAGACCTGATTTAGACTCATTTATCTGGACTGTTATAAAGAGAGGACTTTCTGAAGTGGTCCCTGAAGTGAGCCAGTTCTGTCTGCGTATATTTACTGTAGAAGAGCTCGGAGCAGCAGGTATAAAAGTGAACTACGCACTACAGTGATGACAATACAGGCCTGAAGGATCACTGCTGATGTCACACAATGACTTCTCTCATGTCAAGGCGATGCACACAGTGTGGGATGTGGAGAGCCAAAGTGAAGATGTACAGAAGGTGAAACGAGTGAAAAAGCTCCTGTAAGGTTCGCTAACAGGTATTGAGTCTGACGTGAATAGAAAGATGTTGTTAAGATGGATGGATCTTGCCCCTTAAAGGTCCTATATTACGCAAAACTGACTCTCTTCTAATGACTTTGTGAGCTTTAAGGCCTTTTATAATGTCATACAGAGAGAGAGACAGGGATAGAGGGATAGAGTGGAAGAGACAGAGGGATAAAGAGAGAGAGAGAGACAGAGGGACAGAAAGAGAGAGGGGATAGAGAGAGAGAAGGATAAAGAGAGAGAGAGACTTATGTGTAGAGACAGAGACACAAAAAGACAGAGAGATAGAGAGAGACAGAGAAAGATAAGAAAGAGAGAGTGACAGAGAGAGACTCAGATATAGAGAGACAGAGAGACGCAGAAAGAGAGAGATAGAGCGATAAAGAGAGAGCGATGGATAAAGAGAGAGAGTGACAGAGAGACTCAGATGTGGAGAGAGACAGGGAGACACAGAAAGAGAGAGAGAGAAGAGATAAAGAGAGAGAGAGAGAGACGGAGAGAGATTTAGATATAGAGAGACAGAGAGAGACAGAAAGAGAGAGATAGAGCGATAAAGAGAGAGAGACAGAGAGTCAGATACAGAGCGAGACAGACAGAAAGAGAGAGATAAAGAGAGACAGAAAGAGAGAAGGAGAGACAGAGTAAAATAGAGAAAGAGAATGGTAAAGAAATAGAGAGACCGAGAGAGTCAGAGACACACAGAGAGAGAGAGAGAGAGAGAAAGATAGAGAGAGAGAGAGACAGAGAGAAAATCAGAGAGAGAGACAAAGGATGATAGAGACAGAGAGAGATAGAGAGAGACAGGGAGAGTCAGAGAGAGAAAGAGAGAAAAATAGAGACAGAGAAAGATAGAGCAAGAGAAATACAAGAGAAAAACAGAGAGATAAGAAAAAGAGAGAGAGATAGAGAGAGACAGAGAAAGAGAAAAACAGAGAGACAGAGAGAGATAGAGACAGAAAAACAGAGAGATAGAGATAGACAGAGAGAGAGAGACAGAGAGAGAGATACAGTGAGATAGAGAGACAGAGATAGACAGAGAGAGAGAGAGACAGTGAGATAGAGAGACAGAGAGAGAGACAGACTCACTTGGCCGACGGTTTGATTTCCTGCCCGTTCTTGAGCCACCTGACGGTCGCGTTGGGGTCGGCCACTTCCACAGACATGGTCATCCTCTTCCCTTTGTCCACAGAGTACGCAGAGTCCAGTTTCCTCAGGAAGGCTGGCACCACAAAGAGAGGGAGAGAGAAAGAGACACTGTTTCAGTTCAATTTCGAAAAACACAAAATGACAACACCAGTCAACTTGTAGGGCCGAAAAGGTCCTATATTACGCAAAATGGATTCATGTGAGCTTTAAGACATGATATAATGTTGTTACCTCCTCAAAACAGACCTGGAGTTGTGTTTTGTTTCATTCACACGTTTGAGCAATATTTTATAACCGCTACTTTTAACTTTTAGTTCAGTGGAGATTGGCAATTCCAGCCCTGAAATGATCCAAATGATTCTATAGAAGGTGCATAGAGTTTAAATGGTAACTGGTTAAATGTTTAAACTGCACTTTTCCACTTTCAAGGCACTCAAAACACTTTACAACAAGGAACCACTCACCCATTCACACTCACACATTCATACACCAGTGTACGCAGACACTGGGGGCGAGGTGGGTTAAGTGCCTTGCCCAAGGACACAACGACAGCATTCATGTGTGGGAGCTGGAATCACACTCCGTGGATTTGACCGCTCAACCGATGATGTTCATGTCGAGAGCGGAGTTCGAACCATGTGGCGGATATCGGTGGACAAACGCTCTACCAACTGAGCAACTGTCTTCAAAATCACAGTGGAGCACTTCCTGTATCACCACATGACATCACAAGGTGGAACTCAGCCTAAGCATGCAGGTTTGTGCGTTAAACATGTGTGAATAAAACAAAACAAAACTCCAGGTATATGTTTTTGATGAGAAAAACATTATAACATAGATCTGAAAATAACTTAATATAGGCCTTTTAAAGATGCATTGTGTAACTTTTCTGGTGGAGCGCCGTCAAATGCTTTTCTCTGTGAAGATGTTATTGCTTTGGAATGTTTCACAGTGTGGTATTAAACCTTTCTATCTTCATGGAGACCAAACCAGACCAATTTACAGGTCAGATCTGTGGTCAGACGATTTCACTTCGTGGAAACCGTCTGACCTCGCAGCATTACAATTCGTTCGCTCGAGGGTAGGCGGGTACTTTTTATTATCTAACCAATCGCTGCTATTTGGTCGTGACGTATGCTAAATATTTTATTAAGCTTTTCCCAAATCCCGTAGGAAGAAAAGCAATAACGGCTTTCCCCTTGATAAAATTCCAGCTTTAAATCCTCGAAATCGGGAATCGTTGCCAACACAGAATGTACGGCTCTTCACTGATTGGCTGGTGTCCGAACTCACACTTCCGGGGTTTTCGCAGACAGTCTACAAACAGTATTCTGATTCCTGACCTAGTCGCTGGAGAGAAATTAAATTGAGCGGAGGCACTCGGTGACGAACCCTCCACCAGAAAAGTTACACAATGCACCTTTAAAAGAAGAACAGTAGTATTTTGGAGCTCTCACCATCACTCTTGGTAATCTCCACCTTCTTCATGGCCTTGAGTCTCTTCAGCATCCCTCTGAGGTCTGTGATGCCGTACTGGAACGCGATCTTCTCGTAGTCACACGGTTTGGCCTTTTTCAAAATCTCCCAAACATCCACTTCCTCACACTCAGACTTCTCCCTCTGCTTTTTCTCCCTGGTTTCAGGTTAAGACAATATTAAAATCCCCCAAAATTATCCAGTTATTCAAAGTAGATATAGATGTTTTTAATATGCAAATGACAGGTGTTGGTGATTCTCAAATTTGTATTTATTGTTGATTTGTTGGATAATGCGCATTGTAAATATACATTATAGTTTTACACCAATCAAGATGCAAAAAGTTGAAAAGCATGACGTCACACTGGGGAGAATGCATTCCAAAAGTTCAGCACAATTTACACTTAAGAAATGCATTTTCTGATACTTTAAACATGATTTCAACAAAATACATTTCTTTTTTAAATAAAAAAAAATGTTTTTTTTGGTCAAATCACAATTTCTGTGTATATTTGAGGGGTTCTGGCCCAGTATGCATGGGCCATGAACTGGGCCAAACTCATACACAGAAATTTGGCCAAACTCAAATTCACAGAGGCCAAAATTAAAAACTGGGACTATTTCATCATGGGCCAAACTAAATATTTCTTGAAAGATTTCAACAACATCTGCATGTTTTCTCTTCTTTCGAGATATGTAATGTTAAACCTTTTCTTATTAAAATTAATGTTTAATAATAGTTTTAGTTAAACATTGAATTAAGAAAAAGCATAATATAAAATAATACCAAAATTTTAAATAAATAATGTCTCTACAGTCTATCTGTAGCTGGTGGGCAGCTCTAATACATATTTGATATGATCTCACGGGCCAAATATAATTATATTGCGGGCCAAATTTAACCCCTGGGCCTGAGTTTGACATGTCTGTCCTAGCATGATGTCATGATTTCCAAAGAAAGGAAAGGAAGTACAATTTTAAACCTAAAACAATGCCCAAACTGTGGAAGAAAATGTCAAATTCGTATTCTAATTCTTAAATCAGCATTTTAGTAAAATGAGTGGTTCAACCTGTCACGGGCACTTTCAAATATGTCATATTCACCTTTTCTTTAGTAGAACACTGAAGTCCAACTCTCCAGCGTCTTCATCGGCCCCTCCACTGGAAAAAACACAAAATATCCACAAATTTCAAAGTTGATTTCAATACTAAGTAATACACTCAATTCCCAAATTCTGATACCACATTGATCTTTAGACAATAGGAGGTGATTTTCAACATAAATGTGGTCTTATATGTGTGTGTCCAGGTGGGTTCCACAGTGTTCCATGCGTGTGTACTAGTCTATGTGCTCTTATACTTGTTCTGATACAGCTCAAAGATCATTCTAAACCTATTCAGGAAAGGGTGATTTCTGTCCTTTGATTGTGACTTTTTTTTAACAGCGATACCTGCTCAAACGCAAGTAGTTTCGATACTAGTTCGATACAGATTTTTATACTTTGACCACCCTATCCACATGTATATGCTTGAATTAAAGGTGCACTGTGTTACTCTTCTGGTGGAGGGTCCATGCTTGCACTTATTCAGTTACTATTTTTAAGTGCTGGAAAAAATATCTAGAAAAACAGGCATTCAGTATGGCAGCACTGTCCCACATCTTTGCTCTGATTGGTTATTTATGTGGGCGTGGTTCATCTGCTGGAGCCAACGGGCACTTGAGATCCAATAGCTGCTTCCTTGCTGAAAATAAAATGGATGTCTTTTGAGTCACAGCTGGTGGAAATGGTGTGAAAATACATCTATACGACACGACGCTCAGTGACTATAAAGACGCCAAATGGCAAGAAATTCATGGAGAGAGACATTTTAGGCTCAGACAAAAATCAGTGTAGAAAAGTCTGGCGTAATCTCCGTGACAAGTCTGCGAAAGCCAAAAGGCAGAGCGAGGCGGCAGGCCAGTTCAGAACATCTTTTGAAGTACGAAATGTCAGAGCCCAAACGAACTTTGCTCTTGTTCTTATCACCTCAAGAACAAGAAAAAAGTTCTTATGAAGTTTAAATAGACCTTTACTGTGAGCGGGGTTGCATCTCCACAGATCTGACCTGTAACTTGACCTGGCGTTGTTGCCATTAAGATAGATGTTTAATGTAAATAATAGAGCCTGGAAATAATCTACCACAGGGTCTCCAACCTTTTTCCTTCAGTGAGCTTCCTTTACAAAACAAAAAAGTCTAGACAGCTACAAATTTTAGTGGTGGCAAGAAATTTTGCAAATATAACAGCCATGATAAGGCTTAGATGGGGAACAGGTTAGATCTCTATAAAACATAAACAATGATCCATTTATTAAAGCACAAAGTTAGGCATCAAAATGACACATTTACAGTGGTATTTAATTCTGTTTTACTTGTTCAGCACAGTACACACAACTGGAGCCAAGTCTTTGTTTTGCAAGTCTCAAGTAAGTCTCAAGTCTTTGACCTCAAGTCCGAGTCAAGTCCCAAGTCAAATACAGGCAAGTCCAAGTCGAGTCTCGAGTCACTGGCCCATAAGTCCAAGTCAAGTCCAAGTCATTTCAAGTCTTTAAACCAAACTACCAAATATTGCTTTTTTTTTGCAATTTATATGACTTTTAAGATAAATTGTACTTAAAACAATATAGTATATTTATATATGAGTATTTATAGAGTATATAAGAGTTGTAGAAATTACTTTAGTTAATTTTTCCTTTTTAAATGTCTTGACAAGATCTTAGTGTGAATCATTATGATCAAAATAGAAAGAATTCAGACTTAAAAGCACTTCTCAAATCTTTTCAAGTCACAGGCCTCATGTCCGAGTCAAGTCCCAAGTCACTGACCTTCACTTCCAAGTCAGTTCATTTCATCAAGTCAAGTCTCAAGTCCTAAAAACAGTGACTCATAGTAACTTGTAAGTCCCCACCTCTGGTACATATAATTCAGAAATCCCTTGGCGAGCTACTTGGAAGGGAGTGAAGAGCTACTGGTGACTCCCGAGCTACAGGTTGGAGACTTCTGATCTACCATAACACAGGATTATATTAGAGGATGCTTCATTACCAGTGTGTGTATTTCACTAACTGCCAATCACTGCTAATGTTACCTCCACCTTGAACACCTTCCTCGCACTTAAAACCTTGTTAGTGTTTAAAAACTGCAATCCTCTTTAACGAGAGATGTACAGTTGGACCCGGAAATGGCATCAAAGTTGATAACCCTACAGCAAGAAGCAGGTGATGAACGCTCCACCAGAAAAGTTACATAATGCACCTTTAAATGGGATTAAAATTGCATATGACAGCTCGTAATTGGATAATCTGACTGTGGCCCCTAATTAGCCCCCAAATCCCAGCGCATTCTAACTGCCGACGTGCGTTTTACAGCTATGATTTCTACCAGCCGCGATCACTCGACAATGAGCGTGAGAGGGCCCCCCGGTGGCTCTTTAGGGTTCATGTTTCAGCCTCTTTACCACAGTTAAATGTCTGATGCACTGAGCCCGGAGCTTTATACAGACTGCGGGCCTATGGATCGGATGGCACGGCTGTTGGCACTCACTTCATGTGGGTTAATGCATCGAAACCAGAGGAGCTGATGTTAAACCTACACCGCTCTGAAATGCAACTACTGGGTCCTGGGCTAAAATGGACGACTACAACACGTTTTAGTCTATGGGGAATGGAAGAGTTAAAGGGGCACATATTACGCTGTTTTCTTATCAATTGTGTATTATAATGTTTCCTCATTAAAAACATGTATGGAGTTGTGTTTTGGTTCATTTACACATGTTTAAATCACAAACCCTGCATATTTTAGCTGAGTTTTTCTCTCAAATGGAAAACACTTTTTTCCACCTTGTGATGTCATGTGGTGATACAGGGAGTGCTCTACTGTGTTTTTAAACTCCATACACCTCCACTAGAATCATTTGGATGATTTCCGTCCTGGACTTGAGAACCTCTACTGAACTGAAGGCATAAAACTATAATAAAATCTGGAAGATGAATGCAAGATGGCGCCGTGTTGTTTCCAGTGGCCTGTGCTCAAAGGCGCATGACGTCTGTAACGTGCTCGCCGCGGAGCAGTTGGACCAATCAGAGCTAGAGAGGAGATAGCACGGGCTTTTATGTTGCAAGTTTATGTTGTAAAAATGAAAGAATTAGAAATGAAGAAATAAAAAAGGATCCCTACACAATCCGACCTTTGTGAAAGCTGTCAATGCTCTGTCAGCTGAACGCGAGCAGTTTGAATTCCCAAAAAGTACATTGTGTTCTATGGAAGAATTCTTTCTGGGCCCAAGCTCCCGGGAGCTGCAGTACATAGAGAGCCGAGAAAGAGAGGGATTGCCTTATCCAGTTTTTATCATAGATCCATGGCTAAAGATAAAAGCCACTACATGACATCACAAGGTGGAACAGAGCGTTTTGAGCTTTGGAGATGTAGACAGACTAATAATGCAGGATTACTCAAAATGCGTGAATGAAACAAAACACAACTCCAGGTATGTTTTCGAGGAGGTAACAACATTATAACATGGTTTAAAGTTCACAAAAGTCAGTTTTGTGTAATATATCTTTAACTTCAAATTATAAATCAGAAGTTACGGCCCGACAGTTACTCTTGAAGTTACAAAGTTGAGAAACTACCAAATACTTTTTTACTCTTACTTGAGTTATTGTTTGGATCACTAATTGAGTTATTTCTTGGGATTGTACTTCTACTTGAGTAATAGTATTTGGTTTGATTCCTTTTTATTTCAAACAGTAGAGAAAGAGAGAAACAATACTGAAATAAATACTACATAAACATTGTAAACAACAGAAAAGCACATTTCTGGAAAAGGAGTGGGAAGAACAAAAATACTTACATTAACCTGCCCCTGTTCATGATGTTTCAAAAATTAAAACATTATGTGGTTACTTCTGTACAATGATGACGAAACTTTACAAATATCTACATATAGCTAAATAAATTACATACTATGCATAATAATTTTGATTAAATTTCTTTCTCTTTTTTTGTATTTTACTGTATTATGGTCACACAAACTAATAATAAAGATAAAGAATGCAAAGAAGTTTATCGTTTATGATTGTATCAAAATAAGCAAAATGAGAATGAAGAATGTATGTTTTTTTTTTTTTTTAATACTCAGGTAACAGTGATCAGGAGTTTGCGCTGTCAATCAAACCAGAAAGAAGGTGCCTGATTGGTCAGTTATTACTGTCCATGTCTTGCTTTACGGACAAAATCGTAAAATAAAAACATCCGAATCGTGTGGAGCAGGTCAACGCGAACATTTTAAGGTCAAAATGACATAATTTTACCAATAAAGTTCATTTGATTTGATGGAGCTGGATCGTGCCCCTGCTCACGTCCTATTTGGAGCACAGGCTTGCGAGTTTAGCTATGTCCACTTATATATCCAGTGTATGATGAAGACTGACAGGAATAGACTCTGAAGCCTCCAGACCCGTATGAACATGACTGCTAATCTGTATAGGAAGCTAAAAGTACAACTAGCCTCTTTAACATGACAGTTTTAGGAGATGTGTCTGCACTAAATCAGGGACAGTGACACCAGAGAAGATTTCAGGGATGGGACCTGGACTTTGGTGAAGGACAGACTCACGATCGCTTGAAGGCCTCCAAAATGTTGTCCTGCGTCTCCTCTTGAACAGCTGTAATCAGAGAATGGAAATAAGTCAAGTTTATAAAAATGATATAATTTACAGTGCATTATTCATTCACTCCAAACAGGGATGGGACGATAAAAATAATATAGTTTATCGTGATAAAAAGGGTACACAGTAATCGTTTGAGAGATTTTATATAATTGTGATAATCCCCAACAAATATAATCGACATTTTATCACCAGAATGTGCAGAAAAAAGCTACTTCTCCATGACGTTTTCCTCTTGGCCATTGTTATTTTCACTTATAACAAAATACAACAGCTGTTTAAATATGTAACCTATTCATAACATTAAAATGATAAAATGATAATTATTCATATCCATAACAGTTTTAAATTGTCAGCAACTTTAATAATTATCATGATATAATGGTTCATCGCAATTATTTTGGCGACGGTTGATAATCGTGACTCTAAATTTTAGTATCGTCCCATGCCTAACTCCAAACTCTGTGGGGGTAAGTTATTATAGCCACTAAGGATGTAACAATAACCAAAATATCGTGATATCGCATCGCCAAAGTTCACACAATAATATCGTGGATCATCACAGTATATCAAATTACAAGTCTCTTTTTGGTTAAATGAAGAGTTATGTTGCAGCAATAGTAAAAAAGACAGAGGAAACTACAAAGACCATAATCCTTTGCTCCATTTCAGTGCAGACGACATGAAGAAATAACAGTTCTAAACACTTTTAAGTCTTAGTTCTTTGGATTAAGTCTTGTCAAGGCATTTTAAGAGGAAAAAAATTGCATATTAACAGTTTTGTTTAGCCTCCACAAAATATTGCAATAAATATCGTACCGTGAGATGTATATCGTGAAAATATCGTACTGAGAGATTTGGATATTGTTACATCCCTAATTGTGAGCCTTCCCACCATATCGTGAGCTTTCCCACGATAAAAATATTGTACCGTGAGGTTCATACCGTGAAAATATCGTATCGTGAGACTTGGATATCGTTACACCCTTAATAACCGCAGCTGCTCTGGGGTAGACTCTGATCCACTGACAGAAATTTGGGGGTCTGGGGCAAGAAGCCTTACATGGGCCCCCTTTAATATAAATGAATAGGAAGACCGTCCAGTTCTGGGCCCTTAAAATCCTGGGGCACGGGACAAGAGGCCCCTTTGTCCCCTAACCCTAACCCCCCCCGTCTATTGCAGAGGACTCACGCCCCTCCAACCACTAACACTCAAGCACGCAGCAAATTCATACTTGGCAATGTGGGTGAAGTGACTTGCTTAATGACACAGCAACAGTTTTTGCCACTGGTGCCCCACAGTGACACCTGGTATTCCCAGCGGTCTTAAATTCAAATCTAAGGCCCAGCCCCACTTAGCTTCAAAGATCTAATGAGAGTGTTATATTTTAAGACTAAAGATTATTTTACCTTTATTTTATGCCTATAGACCTAAACTACAACATATCTTTATTTAACATTTATTAACTGTAAATGCAATATTGATCTAAAACACTTATAATAGATACTGACTTTGTGTTCAAAATGACAGAACTGAGATGGTACATTCATACTGACATCTTAACTTGGCAAAGCAGTCGATTTTACCTGTTGAAAACTGGCTATGTGAAATTTTTAAAGGGACAGTTCAGAATTTTGGACATAGGACCTCATTTCCTAGTGAGCCAGAGTGTTGGAGACGTGTGGAGACACTTCTTAAAATATTCCATCCAGTCCTTGTATTTGCAGAGGTCACTGGTGCTAGGCTAGTGCATGTCAATGGCCACAGTTAGCCTGCCGCTAAAAACAGTCTTACCCACTCCACAAAACACCCGAAGCAAATCTATTATTACTCCAGATTGTCCATGTGAATGTCTGTGTCCAAAGAACCATTTTAGAAGTAAAACCAACCTTGTATTTGAAAGATTTATGTCTGAGCAGCAGCAGCATGTTGTACTCCCTGATAGAAAGCTCAGCAGCGGCGGACTGATATATGAGAAAATAGTCCTTCAACATGCAACGATTCATGCGATGCAAGGTTAGTTTTATTTCAAACATTATTCTATCAACACAGACATTTACATGGACAGTCTGGCATAATAACAGATTTACTTCGGGTGTTTTGTAGAGTGGGTAAGACTGTTTTTAGTGGCAGGATAACTATGGCTATTGACATGCACTAGCCTAGCACCAGCGACCTCTGCAAATACAAGGACTGGATGGAATATTTAAAAAAGTGTCTCCACACGTCTCCAACACTCTGGCTCACTAGGAAATGAGGTCCTATGTCCAAACTGTCTCTTTAAACCTGAATATGATCCAGTTTAAGTCCTGGTCTGGTTCAAGCCCCGGTCTGGACTTACCCTGGACTGCGATGTCGAAGTAGCTGCAGTCGTTCTTGTCTTTGGAGCTGATCTCACAGCGGTATCCTCCAGCGTCTCCATCCACCACTTTGATAATACTCATCTCAAACGTGTAGATCTGACACAAAAACAAACACACATAAATACAACTCAACATTCACTTAAAGTCAGACTTCAATCACATTATCATCTTTACTCTGTCTTTCCTCACGACCTCTTGTATTTTCAAGTGTAAAGCACTTTGAATTACTTGTAAAGCACTTTGAATTACTTTGTGTGTACGAATTGTGCTATACAAATAAACTTGCCTTGCCTTAGTTTTATAATTTATTTCTATTGCATTTCATTTTTACTTATACATAGATTTTTATATATTATGCCTTATTTTACACCAGTCTCTTGCTGTCTTTGCTACTTGTTTTGAATTTATTATAACCATTTATATTTGTTTACTATGTTATTATAATATATTAGCGATGTGTGAGCTCCTGCATCCAAATAATTTCGCTTGTGGATCAATAAAGTTTGTCTAAGTCCAAACCCAAGCCCAAACCCAAGCCCAAATACAAGCCCAAGTCCAAGTCCAAGTCCAAGTCCAAGTCCAAGTCCAAACCCAAGTCCAAGTCCAAACCCAAGCCCAAATACAAGCCCAAGTGTCTAAGTCTAAAATAACAATGAGACAAATATACATGGTAATAATAAATTTAAAATAAGAAGCAAACACAGCAAGAGACTGGTGTCAAATAATGCATAATTATATAAATGCATATGTACAAGTAAAAATAAAGTATAGAAAAATATAATAATACAAAAATATCTCAGCTATAAACAGGAAGTCGTAAGGAGAAATAGTTCAAATATGAAAAATGATTCACATGATGACATTGGCATTTACAATGACGGTCATCTGCGATTGTGAACTGCACTGCTTTACAAAGAGAATTAGACCATTTTTACTATACAACAGAATTTCTAGTTTCTCAGATGCCAAATTAGATGATGATTAAATACATTTAAATCATTTGCTAAATGAGATGTTTCCTAAAAAATGGCAAAGGGGCTCCTCTTCCAAAAGCTGTAATTATCTATAGTCCGGACTGTTCGAGCCAAAGAAAGAGTGCGTTTTAATGTCCACACTATTCTCTGTAGTGGTAATTTAGTAATAATGTTCTTCTTCAAACTGAAAGCGCTCTGATCCACCTTGTGATGTCATGTGGTAGTACAGGAAGTGCTCCACTGTGTTTTTAAACTCCATACATCTTCACTAGAATCATTTGGATCATTTCAGTCCAGGTATATTTCGTGGAAGTAACAGCGTTATTATTTTGTGTAACTTTTTGATTACGGGTCTGTCACCTGCTTGTTTCCATGGATACGTCACTTCTCTGCCTGCAATGTTCCACAGTATGACATTAAACAGCTCTGCCTTACATTTATTAAATTACAACTGATTTTGTAGCTCAAAAATACCCCCCCCCCAAAAAAAAACAAAAACAAAAAACAGGCATTCTGACTCTGAGTGGGGTCGCCTCTCCACAGATCTGACCTGTAACTTAGTCCGCTTTGCTCTCCATGAAAATAGAAAGGTTTAATGCCATACTGTGAAAAGCATTTGACGCACCCTCTAAGAGAAAAGTTACACAGTGCACTTTTAAAGATCACAAGAGTCAATTTTGCATAATATAGCACATATTTAAGTAACAAAATTGAGTACTTGATCCAGCTCTGCTCAGATGTACCTTGGTGTTGCGGTCGTACGTCTCTTTGAACTGCAGATGTTTCCCTGCTTTGCTTTGCAGATCCAGCCACTTCCCTTTGAACCATTTCAGCACAGGTTTCCGAGGGAGATTGCTCGCGTCAACTTTAGCCACAAACGTGATGTCCTTTCCTAAAAACAATACAATGTTTGAGTAACTCTTTATTATTAGTCTGTCTACATTTCCAAAGGTCAAAATGCTCTTTTTGCCCTTGTGATATCATGTAGTGGTAGTTTTCACGTTAACAGCTCCTTTTACATTTAGACCAGTAGAGCTTGGCCATTCCATAATCTGAAATTATCCAAATGATTCAAGAGAAAATGTAAGGAGTTTAAAAACCCAGTGGAGCACTTCCTGTTTTACCACATGACATCACAAGGTGGTGTGTTTTCTGTTTGAGAGAAGAACAACATTGTTACATAAGTCAGAACACAGTATAATACGGGGCTTTTAATAGAAGAAGTAACAGAAATATGCAGAAAGTACAACATTAGTTTAAAAAAAATAATAATTGTAAGCTATTTATTTTATTAAGTGTACCTATTTTTTTTAAGTGTACCTTTAGTTGCCGTGGCGCTCTCTGGCCTCAGGATGAAAATGCTGTTTTCCAAATGCTGATGTTCACCACCAGGGGCATCTAGAGAAATGTAACAGAGAAATGTATTAGAAAAACTTCAAACAATAGAAATGAACATTATATGCTTGTATATAATATATTTTGATTCATGTTATTGGTATGCCTGCAGTGTTCCACAGTATGGCATTAAACGTGTCTGATGTGTAACTTATTGCCGTCTCCTGCTTGTGCCTATGGAGATAAATAATTAATGCCATACTGTGGAGTATTCAAAGCAACACACCACCAGAAAGTTATAGCTCACCTTTAAAAGACTTTTTTTTTAAAAAAAATTATTTATGTATGATGTCATTGTTATTATATTTCCATTTTCTGTTTAGCAAACTGTGATGCAACATCACACTGACATGTAGCTTTGGAATGATTCAGTACAAGGCAGAAAATGCACATTATTAGGCCCGAGCCCCTACAGGGCGTAGGCTCTAACTGTCTTACGAGGTTTTACGAAGCTCTCAACTCAATCGCCACCTGCATTAACTACAGTATCTTTGTGACCCATTCCCATGGCATAAGACATGCATATTTGTTCCTGCTAACAAGTAAAAGTCAGCACTGACCATTGACCATTGATTTAATGTTGACAAAAGTAGCTCAAAGAGCTCTGTCGCCCAAACACACTCCTGACATCAAGCTGTATCCACGCCCCCATCCCGAAGGCACGGGCCATATTTATAATGAATGGAAATCAACAGGAGTCAGTAGGCCACCCCGACAAGATGGTGAATGTCGAGCTCGTCAAATTTGGATGAGATCCAAGATATAACATGGGGCCAGTCCATTCAGAACTTTAAAAACAAACAGAAAACAATAAAATCTTAAAATCAACTCTAAAATGAACTGGGACCCTGTGCAACGACGCTAAAATCGGGGTAATGTGCTCTCATTTTTTTGCTTCCAGTTAAAAGTCACGCAGCAGGATTTTGGACCAACTGTAAACTGGAAAGTGCATGGAGGTGGGCATCAATCTGTATACAAAAAAATCAGAGAGATCATTTTGGCCAGGAACTCAAACTCTCTATTGCTAACACATTTTTCTTTGCAAATACTGGGAACATTAAAGGTCCGATATTACACAAAATGGATTCTTGTGAGTTTTAAGCCATGTTTAACTGCTTTTACCTCATCAAAGACATACCTGGAGTTGTTTTGTTTCATTCACACTTCTTTGTGTGAATGAAACATCTCCAAAGCTCCAAATGCTCTGTTTCACCTCGTGATATCATGTATTAATAGTTTTCAAGTTACCAGCTACTTTTTACCTTTTGATCAGCACAGATTGGTAATTCTATGGCTGAAGTTATGACTCTGATGGGGGTATATGAAGTTTAAAAACACAGTGGAGCACTTTCTGACACATGACATCACAAGCTGGAACAGAACTCAGCCTAAATGTGCAGGATTTGTGAGTTAAACATGTGCCAATGAAACAAAACACAAGTCCAGGTATGTTTCTGACGTCGAAAACAAAAAGAAAAACATTATAACACAGATCAGAAAACAGCGTAATATGGGCCATTTAAAGCTTCACAAATCACACTTTAGTCTTTGCTTCTTTTCTGTCATGTCCCATTTCGAGCGCTAACCCTTTGTAGCTGAAGTTAAGCTACCGTTCTCCCCTGGGACTGTGTGAATGGCTCAGTACAGTGATTTAAAGTGTCTTTTACACCACAAACAATCGCACATGTTTTTAGTCTAGCAGCAGCTGGAGCCGTCATCTGGGACCCTCTGTCAAATACTGTACACCCCCCGCTAACACAAAGCCTCATGGGAGAAAGGCTCTGCTTAGATCACAACTGAGGACTTCCATAAGGGTTACTATCGCAAATAAACACTAGACTGCACTGCAAGATGGAATAACTGGGTAATTTTAATGATTATTGTTTTTATATACAGTAGATTTGACTTGAACACGTATAACTATCTAACAATGGACCAAAACAAAACAAAATTGACTCTGTTGAGCTTTAACCCTTCCAGACCTAAGGGCAATTTTAGTACATTTGTCCTCGCCTGGATTTTTTTCTTAATTTTGCTATTAAAACTCCCCCTAATGAAGTGTTATACATCCTTTTTTCAGTACAACCTGTTCACAATCTGCTGCTGTAATTGTGTCATATGGCTGTAATAAAAGCTATAGAATAAAATAAATAAAACTCTCACACGCTTTCATAGAAAACACACAGCAAACATGTGTAAACAACTTTTTGGACCATAAAAAATGCTTAATTTAGAGCCTTAACTACAAAAGTGCAAAATATCTCATCTGTAAGAAAACTAAAAATATCCTTATTGCCTCAAAACAAAAACAAAAAAAAAGAAAAGAAAAAAAAAAGAACCTAAAAACATTAAATATCGGAAAACCAAATGAACTCATCAGACAAAAAAAAGTGCAATGGCCCCATGACTTTCCTTGTGCCAGTCATGGAAACAGGGCACAGAGCCACATCACTGCTTCCATTTCCATCATGTTTATTACATTTGAATTTGTACATTTTAGACTGAAATAAACCTTTCAAATAAAAATAGCAAGGGATGTGCGATTAGACCAAGAGACGTCATTTTCCATTTATTTGAGAAATAACTTCACTTAGAACGGCTTTTTCAGTTGTTACAAACACAGGAAACATTAAACATATCTATCTTCAAGGAGTTAAGGTGATGCCAGCAGGCCAAGTTACAGGTCACATGTGTGAAGAGGTGAGTGACCGCGGCGTCAAAACACACCCTGGACGCCTCTATTTGGATGCCTTTGCACTGGAGTTTAGACACCCCAGATGCGTCCGTTGCCCTGGAAACAAGTGTGCAGTCCTGCTCTTTTCCCAAAACGATGGCAGACCAGGCTGAGAGAGACTTTAGTGTTCGATCAGGTCGACGACAGCAGAGTATATATATGTATACTCTGCTAATGACACTGGTCCAGTCCTGGTCTAGTCCTGGTTTAGTCCTGGTACGGGCCTGGTCTCGTCCTGGTCTAGTCCTGGTCCGGGCCTGGTCAAGTCCTGGTCCGTAACTGGTCTAGTCCTGGTTTAGTCCTGGTACGGGCCTGGTCTAGTCCTGGTTTAGTCCTGGTACGGGCCTGGTCTAGTCCTGGTCCATTCCTGGTCTAGTCCTGGTTTAGTCCTGGTCCTGGTAGGTCTGGTCTGGTAGTCCTGGTCCTGGTCTAGTCCTGGTTTAGTCCTGGTACGGGCCTGGTCTAGTCTGGTCCATTCCTGGTCTAGTCTGGTTTAGTCTGGTACGGGCCTGGTCTAGTCCTGGTCCATTCCTGGTCTAGTCCTGGTTTAGTCCTGGTACGGGCCTGGTCTAGTCCTGGTCTAGTCCTGGTCCTGGCCTGGTCTAGTCCTGGTCCGGTCATGGTCTAGTCTTGGTTTAGTCCTGGTCCATTCCTGGTCTAGTCCTGGTCTAGTCCTGGTTCTGGCCTGGTCTAGTCCTGGTCCGGTCATGGTCTAGTCTTGGTTTAGTCCTGGTCCGGTCATGGTCTAGTCTTGGTTTAGTCCTGGTCCGGTCCTGGTCTAG